GAATTTTCATTACTTTTCTAAGAATAAAACTATGTCATTGATTAGCTTCACTGTTTATCCCCTTGGTTCCTAATAAATACACAAAACATCACAAATAACCAGGTATGGTGGTGTATCCTCTAATTCCAGGACTTGAGGGGCTAAGGCAGGAAGATCAGGAGTTTGAGTCCAGCCTGGTCTACTAGTGAGCCCAAAGCCAGCCTGGATTACACAGTGAGAGCCTGTCTAAAAACAAAGCAAAACCATAGTGCTCGTAATTACTCATGGAGTAGATTGGTTTTTTTACTTTAAGGCTATGAGGGAAAACATATTTCCAGTAACTTTATCCTTTCAAGATTTTGGTGGGAAGAGCATTTTGGATAACGAACCGTGTGTTCCTTATGGGCCTGTGACAGAGGGAATCTCAGGGAATCACTCACAAAAGTATCCTTACAACAATTCCAATCTGTTTTCTCGACTCACATAGAGCATTGCATGGTAGATTAATTAATAATCAATTTGTAACACCCACCTGAACTGATCAGTGTGGTGCTGGGTGTGGATGGCCCACCTGAGGATTGTTGCCAACAGCACAAAAACAGAACTAGAGGGGAGGATGGTGTGCTGTTGATTTTTCTGGAGAAGCCTGTTGGCTGTTTTTCCTGACAAGAACTCAGCTGATAAGAACTAAGCTGTTCTCATCATTGGAGGAGCTCAGATCCTTGCCATCACTGAGGATGGCTGCCATTCTTTTCAGGGGAGAAGTGTCCCTTCCTGGCTCCAATATAGACCCCTCAACCTAGTGGCACAGATCTTCTAACCTGCTGGCAGAGTTTCTAGCTTCCACCACTGACCTTTGGACCTTCCCAATGCAAATTCTTGATATGGATTTGCATGAGATGCCATCACTGGCTCTAGGCTTCCAGCTGAACTCATGGAGGACACTGTCATGGGCTCTAGGTCTTCATCTGGACTCGTGCAGGACATTGCTGTGGGACCCTGGCCCTCGGCTGGATTGCTTGGGTCTCTAGTGTGTGAACAGATCTCCTGCATGCTTCTGCATTTTACTCTTTGGTTGAATATTATAAAATAATCCCTATAAATTTTGTATCCTGTGTTAAATCTATCTCCTTGAAAACTGTGACCACACAGGCTTTGTCTTTTCCCCAGGTCTCCTCCAGAGACTTTCCAGTAGAGACTTTGAGCACCCACCCATGTTAGGTTCCACCAAGCCCATTTCTGCTGGCTTGTTTCTGTGTCCCCCGCATCTTGTATAATACTTGCCCCAAAGGCAAAGCTTTATATATATTTGTTGATTGAATGGATAAAATTACTTTTCTCCAGGCTAAAAAAAATTTGCCTCCCATATATTATATATTCCCTACATGTATGTAACCTACATATTTTTCTTTCAGTGTTTTGTGCTTTTGACAGAGACAAAGATAACTACATAAATGTAGAAGAGTGGATTAGAGGATTATCAGTGTTTCTTCGAGGAACTTTTGAAGAAAAGCTGAAGTGTAAGATGGGATTTCTGCTAATATATGTTGTCAACTTAGTATTTGATGTTTATATTCTAAAAATGTGAAGTTGGGGGTGGGGATTTGGCTCAGCGGTAGAATGCTTGCCTAGCAAGCTGGAAGCCCTGGGTTCGGTCCTTGGCACCAAAAACAAAAAATAAACCTCTCCTTAAAAAGTTCAACCAAAAAAATACAGTAAAATCAAAAATAAAAATATGAAGTTAATGTTTGGTATAACCACCTTGCAAACATTATTCATGACAGCTTGAAACAAAACAAGTGATATGAGTGGCTTAGTTTTAAGGTTACCAAAGTCTGCAGTCTCCATTCACAGGTTCTACATTGCTCAGTGTCACCAGGATGGGTCTTTTGGCTCATAGCCTAAATTAAGGGTCATGCTCATGCCACTCTGATCAGCAGGTAACACTGATGTCTCTGAGGCTGCCTTTGTCCTCAGCAGGACGTGGACCCTGATATGGTGCAGTGCATGTGTTACTTTAGGGCCATTCTTTCTTTTCATCAAAGAAACCAAAAGGGGTTGACATGACACTAACTACCAGACATTAATTCTTTTTTTTTGGCGGAACCAGGGATTGAACTCAGGTCCTTGTCCTTGCCAGGCAAGC